TAAAGTATTTTTTAAGAATATAATAGTTTATTTAAAATATAATGCTCCGGACTTATATCGGTTTCCGATTCCTAGTTGTTAAGTAAAACTTACTCCTATAAGCTATTACAACAGTGGCATGTCTTCTAATAAAGAGTAGAAAAAACTTCTCTTAATAATGAACAGAGAAAAGAAATTATTGAGTTCAAAAATAAAAACCCAAATATTAGCCATGTTGATCTTGCTGCATGGTTAAAAGAAAAATTTAATTTTGAAGTCCATTTGACTACCATTGGATGTTTAATAAAAAATAAAAACGATATTGGCGATGATTCTTCTAAGAAAAGACAAAGAACAGTTCATTACCCAGATCTTGAAAATGCATTACTTGAATGGATTCTACAATATCAAGATAAAATTATAATAAGTGATTTAATTTTAATTGAAAAAGCAAAAACTTTTGCTAAAATATTAAAAATACCTGATAGTGACCTTAAGTTTTCACATAGATGGTTATTCAAGTTCAAAAAAAGACATGATTTAAGAAAAATAAAAAAGCATGGAGAAGATTCTTCTGTAGATGATAATGTAGTTGCAATAGCCATTCCTCTATTAAGAGACGTCTAAAAGAATATGATTTAAATAATATTTACAATATGGATGAAACAGTGCTATTTTATCAGTATATAACAATGAATAAGTAATGCTAAGAGAAAATCAGACTTCGATCAGTATGATCGAAGTTGTATTTTCTCTTAGCGTCACCCAAATTGATACTTATTAATTCCTTCTTTTTTTTATTCATTGGTTAGTCTCGAGCTGGATACTACGCTAGCAACTACTCATCTTAAGGATAAAAAAAAAGGATAAAGAACGGTTAACTGTGGCACTTTGTGCCAATGCTAATGGGACTGATAAATATAAGCCCTTTGTAATAAGTAAGTCACCCAACCCATGGTGTTTCAAATATATCAAACGCAACAGGCTCAGTGTTATATATGAATCAAGTAGCAAGGCATAGATGACGACTGTGTTGTTTCAAAAGTGGCTTAAAGAATTCGACTTAAAAATGGCCAGCCGTAAGGTAATTCTTTTAGTAGATAATGCCAGGTGCCATTCTTCCAGTAATTTAAATCTTTACAACACCACCATTCACCTCATATACAACCTCTGGATGTCGGCATTATTATGTCTTTTAAGCGTCGTTACAAAAATTATTTCATAAAATAGTTGCTTGATCAGTATGAAGCTGGAAAAGATGATAAATTAAATGTTCTTAATGCTATAAAGTTTATTGTTCAAGCATGAAAAGAGGTGTTATCAGAAACAGTATGTACATAAACAGGATAAGTTATAGTAAACCTTAAAAAAAAAATTATTAGAATGCAGTAGTTAAATTAATTAATAATAGAAGAATTAAATTAAATAGCATACTGTATCGTCATGAAATAATGCCTTGGGGCATTATTTCGCGATGATACAGTAAATAATTTATTAAAATATTAATTTTGTTGAAAAATAATTTTGCCTTATCTATAGATACGTAATTGCTTCCGGCACACAAAGATTCTTCCAGTTTAAAGTTACAAAGAGCCTACTAATGATGATAATGACAATGAGTTAATAGAAGAGATGAAAGCGGATATTGAAGTACTTAATTTTCAAAATACAATGGATCTTGAAGCCTACATTAATTATCTGGAGGAGGAAGATACAAATAAAGCCTTAAATGATCAGGAAATCTTAACTTTAGTCACTAATATAGAACCCGAGAAAGATCTAAATGAAGATGACAATAGTGAAGAAGATAAAGATGACAGTAAAGAAATCCCTTTAATTACTCACCACGAAGTGTTAAATGCCGTAGAGGTGCTGGAACAATATCTTATACAGCAGGATTTAAGTAATATAGCCTAGTTGAATCACAGCCAAGCATTATTAAATTTGCAAAAGGCAATAAGAAAAATTCGAAGCATGTCTTTTAAACAAATGAATCTTGAAAACTTCTTTCAAATCGACTAATTGACTGAGTAACAAGTAAATTAGTAATTTTTTGGAGGTTAGGGATTGTAAAATATAGCTTGATCAGAATAGACAATACGTAGATCATAGAATTTATTTTACATATAAATAAATAAATTATAGGTTAAGGGTTATAATAAATAAAATAAATAAATAAAAAAAAAGAAAAAAGAAAAAGTAAATTGTAAAAAGAACTGGTAGAAAATCTAAAACAATATTGCGATAGAACTAATAATTATGCATCACGTGACAAAGATCTTCAGCAATCTTATTGGCTGTTCCCTAATTGCAGCCCCCCTAAATGCACGCATTGAAGCCGGTTCTGACAACGTGCATTTAGGGGGGTCTGACTGTACCATTATTTAATGGATTCAACAAGCGATAAATGCAGTCCTACAACTAATTATAATGGGAGACTTCAATGTAGAAAACAATAATCTACACTCAACTTCAATTAAATACAAATTACTTCAATTTTTTCAATTTAACAATATATATAATCTGTCATCTTATATACAATCTTCTACATATACTTGGCAAAGTACTAGACATGAAAGTTGTATTGACTATATGTAGGCTAATCATTCAATCCTTCGTTATTTAACTTCTTTCTATACAGATAACCCTAAAACTAGTACTATAAGTGACTATCAGATTTTAATCTTCTCATGGTCATTTCTATATGCATTTATTGGCAAAAAATAAACAGCAACCTGAACCTGCAAACGAATATTTCTTTATAAGAATATGAATCAGAAACAATTGCAGACATATACAAATCAAGTTACATCCAATCTTAAAGAAAACAATTAAACATCTGATATCAACACAACAGAAACACTTGAGTCTACTTGGCATAAAATACAAACAAGCATCATTAATATAGCACTCCAACATATTTCTAATAAAAAATTCACCATACACAATTTTCAATATATTTACTTATCAAAAGCATCAAACCTTCACTATCATCTTAAGAAATTAGGAAACATTATTTAACATACTAAAGCTGCACTTAGAAATCTAACACCTATATCTACACACTACAATAATACCATTAACCAAATCAACCCCACCCACCAACTCAATATTTAACATATTTCTAATGAATACAATCTTTTAACCAACTGGATTGCCAATAGCAATACAGAGTGGAAAGCACTATATCATGCTCGCAATATGGAGAACATCAAAGAAATTCAACAACAAATCAATGATAGTATCTCTAAAAGATGTGACAAACTTCAAACTAACCCTAAGGCTATGATTAATAGCATTTTAAATCGGCATAAAGATCCAGTAAATTTGATAATATCAAAACTGATAATGATATTATCACTGCACATTAGAAATCAAAACATATATACAAACACACTTCAATAATTAGACAAACTTTAGACCCATCAACCAGCAGATTTACAACTCTGAATAGTATAATAAATATCTTCCTAAAACTACTTTGCAAAAATTTGATAATTTCGAGATATGCAATTATTTGCAAATAATAAGCAATATATAGTGCATTATTAGTGCTAAGTTAGCAATTTTAATAATTTATTACAAGATTATTTCATTATCAGTGCCTTTAAATATCTAATAAATTGGTTAAATAATAGTAATATTTAGGTCTTTATTATTACTAAAATATTGATAATATATTGCTAATATTAGTATTTTATTAGCATTATAATTAACAAATATATTTATAAAATTAAAATATAGTAAGAAAATGCTAATAAAATACTTATATTTGCAAAATTTTGTATTTTAATAGTACATTATCAGCACTGTTAAATTGCTTATTTTTAGCAAGTTCGATTTTGGCAGATTTTTATAAAGTAATATCAACTCAGAGTAGTACAATAGTGCTCTTTATAATTTACTATTGATGAAATCTCTTCTACATTATCTCAGCTTCCTAATAACAAAGTATGTGGACTTTCAGGCATTAGCTATGAAATGCTAAAACATGCTGGCCAATCTTTCTTATTATCTATTACAGCATTACTTAATAGATGCATTATTACTAATAGAATACCTAAACAATGGAAAGAAGGTAGAATCTACCCAATTTCTAGAAAACCAATCTTTGATAATAATCTAGTTAATACTAGACCCATTAGTCTGCTCGAACACATTAAAAAACTTTATACTAAACTTCTCACAAATTGGTTAAACCAAATATTACCAAATACCCAATTCTTTCTCCTTATAATTATATTGCCATTCCTGGTACTTGCACAGCTATTCCTCTCTACATTCTCAACAATATCATTGAAGATGCAGCCTGTAACTTTTAACAACTTTGGCTCATATCTCAGGATATGAGCAAAGCATATAACTCAGTTAATCTAGATCTTTTTCAAAAATCACTTTTAGGTCTTAACATGCCATCTAAATTGACTCAAATTCTAACCAACTTATGATCTAATTGTCATAATAGAGTCATTACCAATTTTGGGCTCACTAACTCTTACACAGTTAAAAATGGTATTGATTAAGGCGAAACTATTACACCATTATTTTGGAGAATTTATTATGATCCACTTATTCACCAGATTGCTAATAAATTTACTGGCTACACTTTATTTACTTCCTAGAAAACTCACCTAATATATACAAGGCACCAATTCTTAAAAGCCTCAATATCAGTACTGGCTTATATAGATGATACACTTTGGATAGCACACTCAAAAGAGGAACTTGAATCAATAATTCAAACAGCCACATCCTTCTATTATATGGCAAATCTTCAAATTAATCTATCTAAATCTATCTTTGCTACAAATTCTAAACCTACCTCTATATTCTTTCTTAACTCTATACTAAACTCAATTTCAACTAACCAACTATTCAAATATCTTGGATACTGATTTACACTTGACAATAGATATACCAATCAAATCAAACTAATTCAAAATGAGACACTACAACTTATCTATGCAACTTGTACTAAAAAAATTATAGACAAACAAATTACTTATATTATTAACACAGTGATTATTCCTACACTTGAATACAGAATCTATAATATTATATTACTATACACAATATGCAATAACATACTAGCTAAATACCTAACTATAGCTAAACACAAATCTTATCTATCAAGATCAATTCCTTATAGTACTATACTTAACTCATATCTTTACAATATTTGTAATATTTGGGATATACAACTTCAGCATCATATTTCCAACTTTCACTAATGTATTAACAACCCTCACTTATTAGGAATTACTATACGTATAAGACTTCAACAATTACCAAACAATATTTGGTCAACTACAAATATACTTCAACACTCTCAACCCATAGTTGATGGTGCTAATAGATATACACTGAACTTTAAGATTATTCAGTTACTTTCACTACTTGAAATTCGCATTATAGCAAATTCTGATGCCCTATGGCCTAATACTATTTCACATAGCTTACAACTATTAGAAAAAATCCTTAAAAATCATTCTAACTACACAACTTTCAAAAAACAGCTCAGAAATTTGCAA